AAACAATTACACTAAAGCTCATGTGACTGTTGCAGATGACCAGGTAGGTCGGATCTACATTGATCGAGAAGAGCTTATAGTCCGACGAATCGGACACAACGTAATGCTCGAACAAGACACAGTCCACATAGGCTGTGAAGCCGATCTGGCCGCGCATGTACTGGAAGTGCAGGGTAGACAACTCTCCGTGAAGGGACTATTAGACACCGAAGCGGTGGTCAGTATCATGCATTTCGACTAACATCAGACTGGCAGCGGCTAATCAGGGTGCAATATACGTGACCGGCTGGGAGGACCCCTATCATCTCGTTGCAGCTAGGAGGGAGACTTCTCTGGATGAGTTTCCTGGTCGTCGAGAGTCTTGAAGTGTCCGACCAGTTCATCCTAGGAAGGGATTTTGTGCGCAACTTCGATATCACAATTGACCTCAACGACGGGTTGATAAGATTGAAGGACCCTGAGAGGAAGTATGAAAAGAAACCAATTAATAAAATCGTGATTAACCAAGCAAAGGTGCCAATTTTCCTAGATAGGAAGGTTAGGTTAAAACCACATGAGGCTGTAATAGCAACATTTAGGATGAGGAACAATAATGAGCTTAGCAACAACAGACAGGTGTGTCTGGTTCCAAATCCAAACAGTAAAAACTCAGCTATTTTAGGAAGAAGCTTCTCACTCACTCAAAGCGGACTGTGTGTGAGTGTGTTGTTGAACACAGAGGCAACCACGGTGACGATACAACGAGGAAGGAAGCTTGGCTACGCATTGCCTCTGAACACAGACTATCCGATTGTGGAGAACTTAAGATATTTGATGTAAAAAGTGATATTCGTTAAGATATTTGACGTAACTAAGTGTCCCTTGCATGCCAACCAAGAATGCGTATTAAAGAGGATAAGTGAATTGAAATTTTCTGAAAAATTGTTTTCGATGAAGTTAGAGACAGACGATGGGCTGTCTAGTTGTTAAAAAATTTCTTGAGGGACCGACAGAAACAGAATTATCAGCAAACAAGCCAGTCCTACCTGAGATAGAGTATCTAAAAGGCAAAACATCGGAAAGGGAACTGGACTCACTCAGAGCGGTGTTAAATGGGAACGCCGACGTTTTTCGAGGCATAAGGCCAATATAGGTTGCTGCAATTTTGTAGAACATGAGATCGAAATAGAAGAGGGCTCGGTACCTCATAGGGAAGGGGCAAGGAGAATGACCCTCCATAAGTCAGAAGCATGCAGAAAAAAATTGAAATGTTAATGGAGTTTGACATGATTGAACCGTCGAAGTCCCCGTGTGCTTGTGGCGTGGTCATGGCAAAAACGAAAGGGAGCAACTAAGGTTTTGTTGTGATTTCCGCTAGCTGAATGCAGTAACAATAAAGGACGCATAGCCGATTCCCCGCATCGACGAGAGCCTCTCCAAGTTAGGAGATGCAAATATCTTCACGACGCTGGATTTGAGCTCTATGTTCTTACAGGTGCCCCTCCGAGAACAAGATTGAGAGAAGATAGGCTTGGCGTGCGAACTGGGGCTATACCAGTGGAAAAGAATGCCGTTTGGAAAATGCAATGCGACGGCTACGTTCCAACGGTTGATGGCTCAGGCACTCACGAATGTAACTAAAAAGTATGGCAACCTCATAGTGTGTTAGTTTGATGACGTGTTCATCGCGACACTAACGCTGGAGGACCATATAAGGAGACTGGACGAGGTCTTTAGTTGCATAAAACAAGTGGGTCTGAAGTGTAAACCTTCAATGTGCGAAATCTTGAGAGACTCAATTAGGTATCTGGGCCGCCTTGTAGATAAACACGGGGTCAGACCAGATCCCGAAGCGGTTGAAGCGGTGTTGACATGGAAAGCACCGAAGACCGACACGCAATTGATGAGCGTCCTCGGATTCGCTAACTACTACCGAGAGTTTATCAAGGGGTATGCTGACAAAATATACCCCATGCTGAAACTGACGCGAAATAAAGGCAAGAAATTCAGCTGGACTGACAAGGCTCAGGTCTCCTTTGAGAATATTAAGCGCGGATGTTCGTGTTAACTTGGACGCATCAGTGGTTTCGATATCGGGCATACTTCACCAAGAACAAGAGTGGAACGGGAGAACCGTTCTCCGACCAATAGCCTATGGAAGTAAGGTCCTGAGCGACACTGAAAAATGACACCGAGATGAAGTATGGCGCACCAAAAGCAGAGATGGTCGTGGAAAAATACAGAGCCTACTTAGAGAGTGCTTTCTTCAAGTTGCGTGTGGACAATCGTGCTCTTGCCTGGCTGAAAACCTAATCAATGGACTAAAGCGATATTGGTCGTTGGATCGTACGCCTGGACGGATACCACATGATCATAGAGCAGCGAAGCCATGACAAGCACCAGAATGCCGATAGCCTCAGCAAGAAGACAGAATTTTATGAGGGACTAGAGGAGAAGCAGGCCAATCAAGCAGAGATCAAAGATGAATTTTCATTCCTGGACAAGGAGACGTACGACAAACTGACACTCACCAGGTGGCTTGACAAGTCAGGGCACCCTATACCAGGACATCCTGAACTTCCAGTGGATAGCATAGCCCTACTGAACAGGACGGTGAACATGGCACCGGATGTCATGTTGAAACTCCGAGACCTGCAAGACAGAGAGGTTGAACGGCATGATCATGAGTGGATGGAGACCATGCAGTGGTTGACCATCACTCAAAGAACGCGAAAAGGCCGGTAACCATCTTGTACGGGACTGCCGGTCGATACGGGATGTTGTACGGGACTGCCGGTCGATAGTGAACCAGCTAGTGAACGCGATGCCGAAGGATGTCTTGTTGAGGTCTTCGTACATGGAACATAGGTAAGCAACCAATGTCCAAACCACTGAAGAAGTCAGGTTCAAGTCAAAATCCAGCGTGACGAGAGAAGTTCAAATCACAGAGGCGAAAGAAGAGTACTGGGGGCGACAAATTGTCCGGGGAGTCGAACTCAAAGCAACCAAGGGACAGAATGTTGCTCGAGGAGTCGAGAAACATCTTAGACAAGTTGCAATATGATGATGTGGAATCCATCGGCTCGAGTGATGACTCCAGGACTCAGTCCGTACCAACCTGGAATCATCAGTGCAGGAAGCAACACCCTTGGGGAAGATATGGTGCGTCAAGTTGATGGATGATGCCCATGCCCGGAGATAATAAGCGGGCCCAACGCATTCGACGAATTCTCCAACAGCAGCTCCCCCACCGAAGAAGAAAGCCAGGAAGAGCAAATAGGAAATCCAGACTTCGGAGACCATTGAGACCCTGGATAAGAAGGAGAACGATTGGCAAGAGTTGCGTCTCAAGTTGGAGGAATACAAGGCGATGGCCAGAGAACGGGATGAATGGAAAAAAAGTACGACGAACTACAAATGACCTTCCAAGAGGAAGAGATAAAGCATCTGAAGGAGTTGTATATGGCAAAGTTGTGCCAGATCTCACCAGAAGTCCTGGCGACGAAGAATTCAGATTGGTCTAAGGACGCATCTTCTAGGACAAAGACACAGGAGCCGTGTATCTCTAGGGAGCCCGTGAGAACTCAGGACGACTGACGCCCTGGCGCGGACCAGCTTGACTGACAGAGGCAGAGTGAGGAGCATTGTGCCAGAGCCACTCGCTAATCGTCTGGGATCCCTGACATCCGAAGCTAGTGTTACTGCTCCCGCGGTCCCTAGTGCAGACGTAAGGGAAAGACTGGGGACGGTTTCCCCTCCTCGAAGACAATCACTGGAGAGCCGGTTGGGAAGACCTAATGAGACCAGTTCTCAGGCCTCCATGAGTGTTAGTAATTTGCCCACGATAGCCCCTGCTCCAGCGGGAAATTCATCTGCAACTGCTACACCAGCAGAGAGCGTTGAGCCAACCAGCGTGCTGCTCTGGAACCGTCCAGATCCTAGCGCGTGAGGGCAATACAAGGCTGACATGCTAGCAACCATGAATATCAATACGTTGACGAGTCGAGTAGACGGCAGAAGAATGATGGACGGGAGTGGTCCCACGGTGTCGGGCTTGTACTGGATATCGGGCGTGGACTGGCTATTGGCGGAGCAAGAGCAGTTCAGCTTCGCTACCGCACTCAGGTTTGTGGATCTCGATGGGTTGCCTCAGCAAAATACCATGGGACCCCTAAAAAGACCATCCCTGACGGATTTCCGCCGGAGGGCCAGAGTGTTGGTATCACCTCTACGGAGTAGCAAGTTCACCACGGAGAACAGGCCCAATAATAAACACCAGAAGATGTATCGGCAGTTCTCTAAGCCGCCGAGCCAATTGCCGGGCGAATATTGGAGAGAATACCCCAGAGCCACCTCGGTGGAAGGAGATGACAGGAGGTATAGAGGACTGGAGATACTGATGGGCGATAGTCTGTTTGCCGCATGTTTGACCATCACTGAAAGAACGGAGAAAAGGCCGGTAACCATCTTGTACGGGACTGCCGGTCGATACGGGATGTTGTACGGGACTGCCGGTCGATAGTGAACCAGCTAGTGAACTCGATGCCGAAGGATGTCTTGTTGAGGTCTTCGTACATGGAACATAGGTAAGCAACCAATGTCCAAACCACTGAAGAAGTCAGGTTCAAGTCAAAATCCAGCGTGACGAGAGAAATTCAAATCACAGAGGCGAAAGAAGAGTACTGGGGACGACACATTGTCCGGGGAGTCGAACTCAAAGCAACCAAGGGACAGAATGTTGCTCGAGGAGTCGAGAAACATCTTAGACAAGTTGCAATATGATGATGTGGAATCCATCGGCTCGATTGATGACTCCAGGACTCAGTCCGTACCAACCTGGAATCATCAGTGCAGGAAGCAACACCCTTGGAGAAGATATGGTGCGTCAAGTTGATGGATGATGCCCATGCCCGGAGATAATAAGCGGACAATTAAACGTGGTAAAGACCTATCTGAAAGCCAGGTACCGGCTGTCGGATCTCTTAAGGGCTCAACAAAATGATAGTTCGACGAGCAATCTAATGAGATGGATCGAGAACGGAGCACCTGACAAAGGACATCTAGAGGAAAACAGCTACAAGATATTGAAGCAATTTTATCTGAAGAGAAATGATTTTTTGTACTTGAACAAAGACGGGATCGTGGCCTGTAAACGCAAGAAAGATGACAAGGTCCTTTACAATCACAATTCAATAGTGTTACCACAGTTATACCAGACCGAATTGCTCTTTCGTTCACATGATCAGATGGGCCATCAAGGCGTGAACAAGGTGTACAATAGAATACAGAATCGGTTCAAATGGCCTGGTTTGAAGAAGGCCTGTGATAAGTGGATCTCTGCATACTTATCGTGTCAACAAGCGAAGGACCCCAGGAAATTGAGGTTTCCCCTGCAGCCATTAGAGTCATCAAGATTCAACGAGGTGGTCGAATTGATCATCGGAAGACGTGCGTGACAGCCGCGGGCTACAATCAAGTGCTGTTAATGATTGATCATTTCACGAAGTGCGCAGAGGCAGCACCCTGCACGACAGCATCAGCGGAAGAAACGTGCGATCACTTGATAATTGTTTGGATAGCGAGACACGGCTGCCCCATCACATTCCAGTCAGACAATGGCAAAGCATTCGTGGGTGTTCGAAGGAGTTAATGTAGGAGTTAATGAAGAGGTCGCAGGTGGCACAGGCCCACTCGATCACTTATCATCCACAAATGAATGTCATAGTTGAAAGGAAAAATCGCACGTTTGTGTCCATGTTGAGAGTTTATTGCTCACGATACATGGAGGACTGGGATAGACACTTGCCGCAAGTGATGGGCGCTTATAACAGAACAGAACATTCCACCACGGGAATAAGTCCGCACATGATGTTAACGGGTCATGAAAAAGCGCTCCCGTTGACGTTTTTCTACCCTGAATATGAGGGGAAGAGGACAGCACCGCAGACGTACGTGCGGGATGTTATTAGAAGACAGCAGGACCTCAATGACTTATGCAGGAGGAATACGCAACAGGCGCAAATAAGACAAAAAAGGAGGTTTGATAAAAGTACAGCTGATGCAAAAGCCTACTCAGTTGGCGACTACGTTTGGGTGTTCCAGGAAGTGGTTCCACCAAAAGGAACCAAGAAACTATTTAAAAAATGGCGTGGTCCATTTCAGATAACAGAAGTGCACCAAGGAGGTCGTTTTTATCGATTGAGCACTGGAAGAGCAGCTCATTACGAAAACATGAAGCCACACAATGCCTCATCAGAGGGCTGGTGTATCCCAGCTGACATGCATGAGGTGAATGAAAGAGGCACGCGCGACAAAAATAACGGGAATGAGGTGGTAGAGAATTGCGATCTGCCACTGGACCCGGAATTAACCGAGCGAGTGGGGGTGGACGACGAAAGTCTTCCATACGCCGAAGAGGACTGGGTCTGCCCAGAACAAAGTGAAGTTGATAAAGGAGTACAGCGTGACTTTCCCTTCACCATGGAAACACGCCAGAGCAAAAGAGGGGAAAAGCAAGAAGAAGTACAATCCGTATGGCGAGGATTTTGTCATAGACAGGATAGTTTTGAGCGACATGATGGAATCGCTAGTGGGACTGGACGAAGTGGTGGTGCCACAAGAGATCGACCTAGTCAACGACACAGAACAGGATTGGATCGACGATTGCTCTGAACTGGAAGTGGAGTTCGAACCGGAGACCGAGTAGATGCATGAGCAAGAATTGACAAATCTGCGAGTACTCGAATGGCTCCATGATCTGCTAGCAGACCCGAAAGAGACCATCTTGACCATTCAAGGGGTCGACCAAAACAGCATCAAATACATCAGTCACGACAATACGAAGTGCAACTGGGTCGCTCCAGATGGTCGTTTACGTGTTCCAGTTTCCAATTTCGATTTTTTCGATTTTGGGCAATTGACGGGGACTTCGATGGATATTTTTGTCCGGGGAGTGGGGGTAGAACTCACCCACACCGAAGATTTGATGATTAAAAAATTAAAATCGGCGAGGAAAACCAGAGAGCTGGAAACGGAGGGTTAAAATGCTAAAAAAACCACCATTCGGACGAGTTTTTGAATCTTATTTTGATCTACCAAACCACTATTCAAACAAGGTCGTCATCACAGACATCGATTTTATACTCACGGAACGTACGTGCGCTATAGCAATAACAGCGGATGTAAGCTTTAAGACAGCACTAGCGGCCGACTTCAAGAGAGAGTATAAGAATATCGAGTTTTTGTGGAAACAGAGGCCTGGTGTGGGAGAGATGATAGCGCTGCCCCCTGTCGCATCACAGATACGAGGGATTTATTTCTGTTTTCTTGTAAGTAAGGCCACTGACAAGCAACATGTAAATTCATAAAACTTGGCGCTGGCCTTAACTCGATTCAAGGATTTCCTGGTCGAGAGAGGAGTGACTTCTCTCTTCACCAGTCTATCATCCTAATAGGCGAAGACTGCATCCGAGAGAGCTGTGTGGCCTCGTACATGTATTATTTTCAGAAACGGACATAGAGGTCTACTTACATAAAAAATATTATCTGAGCAAATGCTAGAGACACATTAGGTGCTAAGTAGTCTTTGTTAGGTTTGCTTTTTAGGCACTAGGATTAGGATTTAGGTTAACTATGAGGGTTTATGTTGTTATGCGATATTGTTGATGTGTGAAATTTCTATGTTATTTATTGATAGTTTATGTTTTATGTGATGTTCCTGTCATGGAAGCCTGGAACACTCCAGGTACGAAAGGTGACAGCGCTCAGTTGTGCTATCTTGACAAGATCGCAGGTCGACGATCCACCTGGGTGCTAGCTTTTCAATCGAGAACAAAAGAGAGTTTCAGTGGATTGTTTTTTAAAAGATGTGAATGACGTTTTATCCCAAAAAAAAGATCAGCTTGGAATGTTGGTTCTAAGTCGCGACTTGTTTTTTAGATCTTGATTGATCCCACTTTGTTTATTGACTTTGGACAATCAGAAGAGTAAGACAAGACATACACGAAGAAAGTTGAGTGACACGAACGACTTGATGGATTTTATCTCAGTGAACCTAGTAACGACTCTAGACGAGACATACCAACGCCTGGTGGATGGCAATTTCGCAGTATAAGACCCGGATTTGGCGATGATCACCGTCGCACTCCTTAATGCAATGGGAATAGAAGGCCGTGGGACCGCCCCATTGGAGTAGTCTTGATGTTAGCCTACGGTGAGTCCGGGACCGCCCAGAGAGGCCGAAACAGACTAATGAGATGGCGACGAGGGGAAATATCGGGTCACGACTTAGCTCGTGAACCAGTACTAGGTCAGCAGAGGGATCACCGTCTAGGATAGATGCCCCTGCCTGTTCGGCCCATGCCTCTCATTGGAGCTAAGCATTCACGTGATGGGCCGGGCCCATCGCATTCGACGAATTCTCCAACAGCAGCTCCCCCACCGAAGAAGAAAGCCAGGAAGAGCAAAATGGAAATCCAGACTTCGGAGACCATTGAGACCCTGGATAAGAAGGAGAACGATTGGCAAGAGTTGCGTCTCAAGTTGGAGGAATACAAGGCGATGGCCAGAGAACGGGATGAATGGAAAAAAAGTACGACGAACTACAAATGACCTTCCAAGAGGAAGAGATAAAGCATCTTAAGGAGTTGTATATGGCAAAGTTGTGCCAGATCTCACCAGAAGTCCTGGCGACGAAGAATTCAGATGGGTCTAAGGACGCATCTTCTAGGACAAAGACACAGGAGCCGTGTATCTCTAGGGAGCCCGTGAGAACTCAGGACGACTGACGCCCTGGCGCGGACCAGCTTGACTGACAGAGGCAGAGTGAGGAGCATTGTGCCAGAGCCACTCGCTAATCGTCTGGGATCCCTGACATCCGAAGCTAGTGTTACTGCTCCCGCGGTCCCTAGTGCAGACGTAAGGGAAAGACTGGGGACGGTTTCCCCTCCTCGAAGACAATCACTGGAGAGCCGGTTAGGAAGACCTAATGAGACCAGTTCTCAGGCCTCCATGAGTGTTAGTAATTTGCCCACGATAGCCCCTGCTCCAGCGGGAAATTCATCTGCAACTGCTACACCAGCAGAGAGCGTTGAGCCAACCAGCGAGCTGCTCTGGAACCGTCCAGATCCTAGCGCGTGAGGGCAATACAAGGCTGACATGCTAGCAACCATGAATATCAATACGTTGACGAGTCGAGTAGACGGCAGAAGAATGATGGACGGGAGTGGTCCCACGGTGTCGGGCTTGTACTGGATATCGGGCGTGGACTGGCTATTGGCGGAGCAAGAGCAGTTCAGCTTCGCTACCGCACTCAGGTTTGTGGATCTCGATGGGTTACCTCAGCAAAATACCATGGGACCCCTAAAAAGACGATCCCTGACGGATTTCCGCCGGAGGGCCAGAGTGTTGGTATCACCTCTACGGAGTAGCAAGTTCACCACGGAGAACAGGCCCAATAATAAACACCAGAAGATGTATCGGCAGTTCTCTAAGCCGCCGAGCCAATTGCCGGGCAAATATTCGAGAGAATACCCCAGAGCTACCTCGGTGGAAGGAGATGACAGGAGGTATAGAGGACTGGAGATACTGATGGGCGATAGTCTTTTTGCCGCATATGATCCCCTAGACATCAAGAATACCAAGTATCTAATAGTGGCTAGTTCGGATCTCTACACGCCTCGATTTCTCTTCTGGACCGATGTGATTTTCCTAACAGATCTCACACAGGATTGGGGACAGGCAGTGGGCATGGCAATAAGCGTACAAAAATCTCCAGTATGGACCCACAAGTGATGATAATTGCCGGCTTCAATGATCACCTACAGAGCCGAGGGCTGCTGGCTCGCCTCACTGACGGATCAGTTCCCAGCAATGAGGTCATGGGAGAATCAATTATGACGCTCTTTTCGGCCATGGCTGAGGTGCAAGTAGCGGTGCGGCAACGCTTCACCAGGAACGTGGAGATGATTGCCTTTGTGTTGTCACCGGGATATGCGGCGCTGTCAGAACCCTTACAGTTTTTGTAGATGACAACCACGTATTGGTGCAACAGGTGGCGGATGACCTCTGGTTCAGGCAGATGGATTATGTGAGGGATGCACAAGAAAGGATGGTCAGAAGGAATCTGACAGCATCAGAAGAGGACCTCATCGCACTGGCCCTGAGGACAAAGCCGCACACTAACTCGTGGCTGTATTTGTCACCAAGAGTATGCACATTGGGGGAAGACGCTTTCGAACATGCTCCAGCGAACATAAAAGAAATACACGAGTATCTGAAAAATTTGTTGAATGAACAGGAGCTGGCCGGAGGGAAGATGCTCCAATTGATGCTAGACGTAAACACGATGTCGTTGGACAGGTTCCAGGCGGAAGTTTTGGCCACAAGGGCACAAAATGAAAGATCTGACGCAATTCTAGGTGAAATGGGAGTGGGATGGACGCCATTCTTCTTGTCC